TGTCAAAATTTCTTCTCATCCGTGCTTGCGTGCCAGAATGCTGGGGATCAGAGTTTCGGCGCCGCAATCGGTGCTCCGCATCGATGTTGCTCGCGACAAGATGGTAGCAAACAGAGCAATTCGCATTTACATCGGGCTTGCTTGTGACTGGGTCGCGTATAGTGAGTGGATCAATTTCGAGAAATGCGAATTAAATAGAGGCAGTAAATGACCGCATACCACGCTTCATCCCTCCCGTTTCCCAGGATCGCCGACGGTCTTATCTGTGCGTTATCGGAGATAGCTTGATTGGCCCGTCGCGCATCATTGGAATTTTTTGGCTGCCGCATCACATCTTCCCCACAGATTATACATAAACCCGGAGGGAGTCATTCGTGCTCTGCTCAACTGGGTCGAGCTATAAGCCTTCAATTGCACCCGTCGGCCACCGAGCGACCTTCCTCCCGCGCGTTCGACGCCTAATCATCCATCCTCATCCTCTGTCGAGCCCGAAGCTACCCAGTTGCTTGACTGCCTGCAAATGGCTCTCTGCGGACGTCTAGCACGTCGCGTACCTTCCCTTACAGGTCACACCCGCTCTGTTGCTCCTTCCACATACTCTCGAAGTTTCACAACCCGAAGTGCTCGGCCGTTGACTTCGCTCCGCTCCAGCACAGAGTCACCTGCCGCCCTCCGGCAGCTGCGGGCATTCACAAAGGTCGCGTCGACATGGAATAAGACACAGACTGCGCCTAATGCAGAGGCATACCTGAAGAGCGGCGTCATTTCTGGCGCGCAGAACTTGGTCGATGTCAAGAAAGTCCTAGTTATTGGCAGCGGTGGTCTCAGCATTGGTCAAGCCGGAGAGTTCGATTACTCAGGTGCGCATACATTCTCATGCACACGCAAACTTGCGCCATGCTAACCAAACATTAGGTTCGCAAGCACTCAAGGCCCTGAAGGAAGCTGGCGTCAAGTCTGTCCTTCTCAACCCTAACATTGCTACCATCCAAACATCCCACGTGCTCGCCGACGAAATCTACTACCTGCCTGTAACTCCCGAATACGCCGAATATGTCATCCAGAAGGAGAGGCCCGATGGCATCTTCCTCAGCTTCGGTGGACAAACTGCGCTGAACCTTGGTGTACAGATGGATGCCAAGGGTATCTTCGAGAAGTACGGCGTCAAGGTGCTCGGAACCAGCGTCCAGACTTTGAAGACCAGTGAAGATCGTGACCTCTTCGCGCGCGCTCTCGACGAGATCAACATTCCCATCGCCAAGTCGATTGCTGTTTCCACTGTCGACGAGGCACTGGACGCTGCCGAGAAGGTCGGATACCCTATTATCGTCCGTGCCGCTTATGCGCTCGGTGGTCTCGGTTCAGGTTTCGCGAACAACCCTGAGGAGTTGAAGAACTTGTCAGCTCGCTCCCTCACACTTTCGCCCCAGATCTTGGTCGAGAAGTCCCTGAAGGGCTGGAAGGAAGCCGAATACGAGGTTGTGCGCGACGCAAGCGACAACTGCATCACGGTCTGCAACATGGAGAACTTCGACCCTCTTGGTGTGCACACTGGTGACAGTATCGTTGTTTCGCCCAGTCAGACATTCAGCGACGAGGAATACCACATGCTCCGGTCTGCGTCCATCAAGATCGTCCGTCACCTGGGAGTCGTTGGCGAGTGCAACGTGCAATACTGCCTGCAACCAGATGGTCTCGACTACAGGGTCATCGAAGTCAACGCTCGTCTCTCTCGTTCATCTGCATTGGCATCCAAGGCCACTGGTTACCCACTCGCGTACACCGCGGCCAAGATTGGTCTCGGACACACTCTCCCTGAATTGCCCAACGCCGTCACCAAGACCACCACCGCAAACTTCGAGCCCAGCTTGGATTACGTTGTCACCAAGATGCCCCGATGGGATCTCAGCAAGTTCCAGAACGTCAAGCGCGACATCGGCAGTTCCATGAAGTCCGTTGGTGAAGTCATGGCCATCGGCCGTACATTCGAGGAGTCTTTCCAGAAGGCTTGCCGCCAGGTCGACCCCAAGTACCTCGGTTTCCAGGGCGAGAAGTACGGCGAGAGCCTAGACGAGGAACTCAAGAACCCCACCGATCGCCGATGGCTCGCCGTCGGTCAGGCGCTGTTCCACGAAGGCTACACTGTCGACAGGGTCCACGACCTCACCAAGATCGACAAGTGGTTCCTGCACAAGCTCCAGAACATCGTCGACTGCACACACGAGCTTGAGGAGATAGGCAGCTTGTTCGGCCTCAAGAAGGAGATTATCCTCAAGGCCAAGAAGCTCGGTTTCTCTGACAAGCAGATCGCCAAGGCCGTTAACAGCACTGAAGACGAGGTCCGTGCCCGCAGGAAGAGCTTCGGCGTCAAGCCATGGGTCAAGAAGATTGACACACTTGCTGCGGAGTTCCCGGCGGATACGAGTGCGTTTTTTTGTGCCTTTCTATCCGCTTATGATCATTGCTAATAATTCCCAGACTACCTCTACACCACCTACAACGCTTCCTCTCACGATGTCACCTTCGACGACCATGGCATCATCGTTCTGGGCTCGGGTGTCTACCGTATCGGAAGCTCAGTCGAGTTCGATTGGTGTGCCGTCAACGCTACCCGCTCCCTCAACGAGCTCGGAAAGAAGACTGTTATGATCAACTACAACCCCGAGACATACTCTGTAGGTTGCATGAGCGCATACACTGGACCGAACTAACCGTTTTCCAGACCGACTTCGACGTTGCTGACAAGCTATACTTCGAAGAACTCAGTTACGAGCGTGTCATGGATATCTACGAGTTGGAGACTGCCAGCGGTGTTGTTGTCTCTGTCGGTGGCCAACTTCCCCAGAACATTGCTCTCAAGCTCCAAGAGTCTGGAAAGGCGAAGGTTCTCGGAACCGACCCTCACGACATCGACAAGGCCGAGGATCGTCACAAGTTCTCATCCATCTTGGACTCAATCGGCGTTGATCAGCCCGCCTGGAAGGAGCTTACTTCCTATGAGGACGCGAAGAAGTTCGCAAACTCCGTCGGATACCCAGTTCTCGTTCGCCCATCATACGTCCTGTCAGGTGCTGCCATGACGGTCATCCGCGGTGAGGACGAGCTGAAGGAGAAGCTTCTTGCTGCTTCCAACGTCTCGCCCGACCACCCAGTTGTCATCACTCAGTTCATTGACGGCGCTCAAGAGATTGACTGCGACGCTGTCGCCTCCAACGGAAACGTCCTTGTCCATGCTGTCAGTGAGCACATTGAGAATGCCGGTGTTCACTCCGGAGATGCCACCCTCGTGCTGCCCCCTGTCCACCTCGACAAGCGCATCCAGGAACGTGTCAAGGAGATCGCAGACAAGGTTGCCAAGGCCTGGAACATCACTGGTCCCTTCAACATGCAGATCATCAAGGAAGAAGTTGAGGGCTCCGAGCCTAACCTCAAGGTCATTGAGTGCAACCTCCGCGCCTCTCGTTCCTTCCCCTTCGTCAGCAAGGTCCTTGGTACCAACTTCATCGAAGTTGCTACAAAGGCTCTCGTTGGCCGTGACGTTCCCGAGCCAACTGATCTCATGAGCGTTGAGAGGAACTACCTTGCCACCAAGGTTCCCCAGTTCTCCTGGACTAGGTTGGCGGGTGCTGACCCCTACCTTGGCGTAGAGATGTCATCTACTGGTGAGATGGCCTGCTTCGGTAAGGACCTGGTCGAGGCCTACTGGGCGTCCGCGCAATCGCAGATGAACTTCCGTCTTCCCCAGCCCGGTGAGGGTCTCCTCTTCGGTGGTGATGTCACACCTGGTTCGCTCCACGCAAACTCCCTTATCCAGATCGCCAAGTACGTCCACGCACTTGGCTACAGGTTCCTTGCTGCCAACAAGGACGTCAAGGAGCTTCTGGAGAAGAACACCGAGGGCATCAGCGTCGACGTCATTGAGTTCCCCAAGGATGACAAGAGGAAACTCCGTGAAGTATTTGAGAAGAACGACATCCGCGGCTGCTTCAACCTGGCCAAGTACAGGGCGAGCGGCTTGTTTGACGAGGACTACGTAATGAGGAGGAACGCGGTCGACTTCGGTGTTCCGCTATTCATGGAGCCTAAGGTAAGTTCATCATTCTGATGTTCGTGAAATAAGAAGCTAACTTGAACGTAGACTGCTGTTCTGTTCGCTCAATGTATGAGCGAGAAGCTGCCCAAGAAGGAGGGCATCCCAAGTGAAGTCAGGTCATGGAGCGACTTCGTTGGTGGTCGACCATAGAGGAAGAAACTTGTTGGTTACTACGGCAATGTTGATGTTTTATCGGAAAAGGAATGGTTCTTTGTAAGAGATATATCCAGATGTAGGGTCAGGTGGGATCAAGATCTTGGGACAGGACGATCGGGATGAAGATTATGTTCTCATGTGTATAGCGTTTCCAGCTTGCGATCTGCTCTATGGGTCGGTCAGCGGGAGTTGTATCAGTTCCTTTTACTTCCAATCTACTTGAAAAGTTTACCGCCTATGTGGCCAGGTAGTCAAGGATACATTTAGTTCTACTTTAGTCCGCTGATCTTTGCATGTATTGTGCTAAAGTGGATGTGCTGTGATGCCACGAGAAGATCGTGGAGCAATTCACTTTATTTTCCCACACTGAGATGATGATAAACGTTCCTGTCAACAGTATAATAGCAATAAACAGCTCGCATGCTGCTTGAGTAACAGGTACGCTGGGGTCTACATTAGTATGAAACCAAGAGTTAAAAAATGTCTTGAGGCAATGTAGTCTTCTGGGTTATCTGTGTACCTCGACAGTTGGGTTGTTTCCCCTTGAACAAGGTATCAGAAGCCACGTTTTGTTTGTTGTCATGCGCTTTCCCTTTGTAGATGAGAGGCTCTAGAAGGCAGGTGCGACCACTGGGCACAGTGAAGCTGAGCCTAGTCTTGGCACTACCTCTTACCTTGTCACTTCCACTTCTACATACTCTTCAACTTCCCACAGCTACCCCTCGAAACGCGCAAACCCCATATGAACAGAATGCCAACTTATTACGATACCATCATCAGTCCTTCGGGCGAGAGCCTTTCTAGCGAAGCCGCAGAAGTCATGTAAGTTTGAAGTAGCACGACGTTTTGCGAAAGCTTACGCGATGTATAGCTCCGAGGCCAACCGCCAGCGCTCACCTCTTCTTCGCCTACCTGCTGAGCTACGAAACAAGATCTACGAATACGCGCTCGGTGGTATGGACCTTCGCATCTCCTACAGAAACAGGGAACTAGGCCTCGTTGCTGCAATGTTTTATAATACGCCCGTCTGGTTCACATCTCTCCATCGACTCGTTGGCTTGACACTCGTATCTCGGCAGCTCTACGCGGAGACCAAGATTCTACCATTCGAGCTATGCACCATGCTTGCCCTGAGGTTCACGTTCAATGACCTGATAGAGAGACTGAACATCACTCAGCGCCAGGCCATATCAACAATACGTGCGCATTACCGGGACGCCTGTAATGGCACAGCATGGGAAGATTGGCCAGCGGTCAGGTCGCTGAAGGGGTTAAAGTGTGTGGTAGTCTTTGGCTGTCCAACCATGGAGCAATTGAAGCCTGGAAGTCTAATCGAGACTATCGAGAAGGGACTTGGTCGAGACGATGTAGACGTCCTGCTCGAGTTTGAGAGGTGAACTTTTTCTCTTAGCTTTGGGCACGAGGCCGTCGAAGACATGGGTTCATACGACCCCAGCTGGCGAATAACACATCAATGGTCGCGGCGGAGAGGCAACTATTTGAGCCATAGATGGAAGAGGGTATTCTTTGATTGACTGAGAGAGGACGGGGCTATTCATCTGACAAAAGCGAGCATTCTTCACATCAATTGCACCCATCTTCTGTATTCCATGTGCCTGAGGAAGTGAACGGTGACACAGAACCGCATATTCAACTTGCTCTTCATTCCTTGCTCTTCATTCCCGCGCCACAATGGAATGAATGCCTGCGCAGATCCCGCAACACTGTAGTAGTAGCTTCACAGGGTAGTTCATAGCAAAGAAGTCACACCCTATCCATTCACCCAAGACTATCAACATCGGGCGTGATACAAAAATCTTGCTCCCTTGATTTTTTACCTCTGTCACATCTAAAGTCTACTTAACACTCTTCCGCAACTCTAGACATCCTACAACTTGCACTCAACCATGTCCGATAAAGAAGATATGATGGCCGAGGCAGATACAATGTACGTCTGAACGTTGAAGTCATCATGACAGACCCCCCATGCTGACTACATCAACAGCACTCAACGCAACCAGCTCGAGTCACCACTCCTAAAGCTGCCAGGAGAAGTTCGAAACAAGATCTACAACTACGTCTTCTCCGTCGGCAGCGTCTACTTCGGTCGCTCACATCATCACTATCGCACGAGCGAGACAGACTACCAACCGGAAGGATGTGAGCCCACCGATCTACTAGACGTAGTGTCGACCTGCCGTCAAATCCGCTCAGACACCTCTACGCTACTATTCAAAAACAACGTAATCATCATAGACGACCAAAAGATTTTCAAGATAGTTGAACAGCTAGAGCCGCACCAGCTCGAAGCCATCAAGGCCCTAGAGATAATTTTCTACGACATAAAGGGTTGTATGCCGAACTTGACTACTTTGAGCAGAATGTTCGCCAGGGAGTTCAAAAACATGCTGGGACTCGAGAGGATAAGCGTTAGGTTGATTTGTTGGCTCCAGGATGATGATGTACTCGAGCGCGAGTGCGAGGCATTTTGCGAGGCGATTAGGAAAAACACTCGGCGTAAGCCGATTGAAGTTACAAATGCGTTAAAGCATGAAGACGACGATGAGGGGGAAACGGACGTGGATGAAGAAGAGACAACGTCCGACGATGAAGCTGAGCCTGAGGACGAAGGACTGGTGGCGATGACGATGACTCTACATCTATGAAAAGTAAGGCATCGGACACCAAGACTATAGCGGAAGAGGACGACCCTATGGAGAAGTAACACTATCCTACTTGTAACTGGAGTCGATGAACGTCTTGCAGAGCACGACCTCACGGGCTGCTCCGATTTTGATAGCACCTCATACCAGAAAAAAGCTGAACAGGCCTAGAGCCTACATCGACGCCAGGTCACCTGTCTTGTAGGTTTTCATGTTGATGTAGGCTGCAGACCCGTTTAGGTTTTTTTTTGATTAACGTGATAGCAACGCATGAATCATAAGAATAAATGCCTATATTGAGTCTATAACTGCCATCGTAGCTAACCGACCAGCAATCCGGATACATTATGCGTGCATGCAACAGCACCAACTAGCTTCTCACTTTCCATGGAGTCGTAGCCACGACCCCAAGACTTCCTAACTTTCAGACCAAGCCCAACGCCAAACCAGCGCCATGCCGAGTGATATCAATATGCAAACCATCGTAGTAGAAAGGAATGAAAACGCCCGCAATACCTGCAAATTCGTGTTCGCTAAATGCTATGCATGTCATATCGTCACCGTTATCGTGGATGCTTAGACGCGGATTCCCGCGCCAGAACCCCATCGTATCTTCCGCAGACCGAGGCCAGTGCCCTTCATGCCTGCAGCAGCTTCCTTACCACAGCGTCCAGCCTCGGAACCTGCGGTGCCAATCTGACCCATCGCCTCAGCATGTCCGGTCTCTTTGCCAACGACATAGCCAGCCGAGAAGCCGATAGCACTGACAAGGACGACGACACCAGCACTGACAACCCAGGTAAGCAGCGTCGGGCTGATTTCCTCTATCATCGGGGTTGTCTTGCGTGCTTTTTTGACGGTACGGCGGTCTTTGCTGCTGCTGCGAGCACCGGCTACCGGCGGACTGGCTTTGCGCTTGGACTTCTCGGAAGGGCTGCTACTGGTGCTGCATGGGGATGATGCGGCCTCTTCGGATATGTTGCCCAAGGCCACGGACTCTGGCACCATGCGCAGGGAGGATGGATCGACTCGTGTGGATGAGGGAGTGTTCGCGCGCGGTTGGCCTGGCTTCGGGAGGCCACGCACAGCGGCGGCAGCCGAGAGCAGCGTGGACAGGCTGGCGCGGAGGGCTTCGTCGTGGTCGGGTTGGTAGTTGGGTGCCATGGCATTGTAAGGGTTATGCTGAGGGTAGGAGTGCTGTCGCTGTCCAGCCGGCCTCACGTTCCTGCGAGGTGTGTACAGGGTGCCGGACTGCGACCGGATAGCTTGTTGGTTGTTCGGGTGCGAGAACGCGTTTGGCCGTGGCTGGAACTCCCGTCTTGAGGAACGTGGGTAGTTGACCGCCGTCGCATTCTCATCGTCATCATCTTCCCTCTCGGACATGGTCTCCGAAGACGCGACAGACTGCGGAGTTTGCCTTAAAGGTGAAGGAGCGATAGCCTCGTTGGAAGATGTCATGACCCTGTCCGACTCGCTTTCGCTCTCTTCATACTCCTCTTGACTACTGTTTCCTCCCGCCGTGATGCGGTGTCCAGTCCCTATTGAGAACTGACCGCCGCCTCGTGAGCGTCTGTTGGGCCGCCTGTGCGCGTTGGAGTCGTGCTGCACCGTGAGGCCCGTTGTGATGATCTCGTCGGTCGCAGAGGATAGGGAGGTGGACGAAGGCGCCGATGCGAGATCAATCCATGACTCTGTGTACGATGTGTCAGCTGTTGCTCGACGTACAGATGCAGTGAAGTATTGAAAGAGAACGGGTCATACCCTCTGAGCGTTGCCTTGAAGACGCAGCGACATGTCGAGAAGGAGGCATGGCTTGGTCCTGGTGGTTCGCGTCGTCGGCCCCTATGTTCTGTCTGCCTGCTCGCGGTGGACGGTGATCGTGCATCGCACCCTAACCTTCACAAAGCCGAGCCTGGAAAAGAGCTCTGCGGCGCTGGACCTCAGCGATAGTCCTTATATCCCCGAGCCCTAGGTTGACCGGTGGTGTGGAGGTATGCGCTCAAGTGGATCCCAAGGGCCGTTCCGACTTCGGTTCTTTGTTAGGACTGGGAACGCTACAGCTTGTTGATTCAAGCAAGAAAGGCCAGCGCAGCTCTGAAACAGCTTATCGGGGCCCAGAAACAAGGCACGGCACCCAGAGCCACCGAATCCTGTCGCGGCGACGCTGCGAGTCGTCGTTGGAGATAAGGTAAGGCCGCGGACGAGCTGACGCTATGTAGACTGGCTCCCCAACTTGCGCACGGCCAGGGTCTGGGCGTAATGACGTTTCGTGGGGAAGGGTGGAAAGCGGAGATCACGGTAATCGCCTTGGGCGGGGCGCGAACGAACACGACAGAGAGCGATCGTAGCAAGCGGAAGGAGACGAGTTGATGTAAGGAGAGATATCGCAAGGTCGAGGTTGGAGTACGTAGACGGCTGCTCGTTCCTGACCCCGTGTCCCGTCTGGTCGTTGGCGTATGACCATTGGCAGTAGGTGTGGGTGACGGACGAATCAGACGTCGCTCACTCCCCTTCCTATCCAAGCCTGGCGAGTCTAGACATGCTCACCTGCCTTTATCCAGGACATGCGCATCTACCTCCTGAGCGCATTTGCCCTGTGGTCTGCGGTGTGCGAGACATGGTCGCGTAGTCGCGCAGCCTCATCTCTCAGTGCTACGTACAACCATGCCAAAGTCTATACAGATCCATCATCATTCCGCCCTCCTCGAGGCTTGTTTACCACACGCTATCTATAACGTCATTATCTGGGGTGTGAAGCGAGTCGAGTTGCGCCACGTAGACTTTGTTCTTCTTCGACATGGACTTGACAAGGGAGGCCAGCTCTCCCGTGCATGCCTTGCAGGAGATTCGCGTCCTCCAATACCGCATACTGTAGGTTCGCTCATCTGTATCGAGTTCAAGTTCTCCTTTCCTTGATCCCCATACTGCTTTTGGAGTACGTCACAGGCTTGGTATGAACAACTGGGGAGACCTTGCAATACAAATAGCGATCCTACGAATGAGATGCAAACACACCGTCCAGCTCGGTGTCCAGTTCGCCGAAAGTCAATTTCGTATGGTACAGGTATGGAACATCGACTCCGATCCATGCAGATATCATACCACGGTCATACATCCTCCTCTATGCGTGCGGGTATTATAGCAAAATCGTAAGCCGAGCCGCAGGCTTAGGGAAATCCAAAATATATCGAAATGCGTTCCAGTTCATCCAGACCAACCCCCATGTTTCGTGAAATCTCTAGTTCTTCTTCTCTTCTTTCTTCTCCTCCTTCTTGGTCCTGCTCTTGAAAAAGTCCGAAATACCGTCCTTGAACTTCTCCCAGGGTGTGCGATTCAGGTGGTTACTGAGTTGGCGGTACTTGTACATCTCAGCCCAGCAGTCGCGACCCCATTCGCAGCCAGCCATGTTGACCATAAAGTCACGATCTTGCTCTTGGTAGTGGATATCGGGGTTATCGCCATTCTCACCGCATGCGCCTGGTGGGAAACTCATGATTTGGCGTTGCTGGATAAAGGCGACGTGAGGCCTGATCCAGGGCTGATTCTGGTACATGTACTCGAAAGCGTCCTGCTCCTTGTGCTCCCACTCCATATGCTTTTGTTCGTAGCCAACAGGATCCCACCAGATGTCAAGCAGCCTGTCGGTCCACGCGCTTCTTCGCACCATGAATGAGCCCAGATTGAAACCGCCACAGTCTTGGGGTAAGAGCATATTGACAGAGTCGACCTTGCCG